GTGGAAGGAAATAAATATATTAGAATTAAATAAATTAAACTAATTGAAAATATTAAAGTAAAAATCATAAAATAAAATTGTACACAAAACTGAAATAAAACTGTATACAATTATATCAAGTTAGTCTTAAAAATGAACACAAATTAATCACAATATCAAATTAGAGAGAGAAAACTTTGTGTTGCATGATGACTAACTGGACAAACAAGATACATATAATGTTTGGAGACTGCTTGAATTTGTAATGAAGAAAAACATTAATATAAGTTTAACATAAATGCAATTGTACAAAACCTTGTTGAAAATAAGGTACATAATTTAATTTCAAGGGACAACAACAAAGAACAAACACAAACAGCAGCATAAATCAATTAACAACTGAAGATAGTCATTATTGTCATAAAAAATACAATAAATCTCAAAGTTAAAACTCATAAAGGGTGGGATAAAAATGATTGTACAGTTTTTCACTTAGATTGAAATTTAATTTCTGACTTGTCTTGAAAAAACATTAGTTAAATTGCTTTCAGTTGTAGTGTAGTTTTTCTTTTTTACAGAATATATAGTAATATTTGTTTCACCTTGTATAATATGGAACAGTTAACCCAAAGCAACATACAAAAAGTACCAATAACAGAATGAATTAAGTTACAAAATGAAGAAACTCATTTTGGAATATAACTATGTAGAATTCAGATATTAATTACAGCAAAATAGAATGATCTAAAATAGAATTCAGAATTAAAATTTAAGTCAAACTTAAAATTAGATATTTAGAGAAGGTTAAGAGAGAGAGAGAGGGAGATGAAATTGAACACAAAACAAATTAAATAACACCAAATAAATAATCTCAAAACAAACAGAATAAAATAATAAGAAGTGATACAAATTAAGAACACTAAAAATACCCTTCCCATCACAAGTTTAGCAGGAAAAATCACTATTTGAAAGCTTTTGGAGGGCTGTTTTTCATCTTTCTTTAAATACCACTTCAGTTGGATTGTCTCCTGGCAGATCTTATGATCTTTATCTGCCAATTGTTTTAGGGAGATTTCATTGATAATCTATTCTTCCTCAAGTGGAGCTCTGGTTTTGGTAGCCTGACCCTGTCTTTACTGTTGCCATTCCTCATTTTGTCCATAGATAGCTGCTTGGGAGTAGTTGTAGGTTCTATAGCCAACAGATTAGTGACTTCATACTAGCAGTGAAGAATTTTGTGGGATTGTTCATTTTTATCTTTCACTATCCTTTTTAGGGCCAGGAAGGAATTCTTTAAGGTAATGATGAAGTGGCCCTTCTGAATGTAGGATATCACTTCACCCCTATGACCTTCTCCAAACTGACATCCTTTGATGGAATATTAGGAAAGTATCCAAGGTTTCTTGGATATGGTTAACTTTTCTTTTATGTAAGTCACCAATCTAGGGGCAAAAAGCATTGTAGCTGTGTGGCTGGGGCAGCAGCTTGGTCCCCCTTCCAGACATGGGTTTTTCAGGCAACTGGGGTACACAACTTTGTCTTTTTGAATGATCTCTTAGATTAGCTGCAACTCTGTTATGGGGCACTTTATAGGAGTTGATGGCATAACAATTGAATCAGGTCATAACATGACATAATATTTTGGGACCACATGAGACCTATTGGTCCATCTCGACTGTTCCATCCTCAAAAGTAAATTTAAATGATTTTAAAAAATAGAATAAAATTTTAAACCCTTATCATTCATATAGTCATCAAATTTCCTCTTAAAATTGCCTAAGTTTACTGTCTCCACAACATCCAAAGGCTAGCTAACCTGTTAGAAAAATAAAACTGTCTTAGCTGAAGATGACTCCTACCTTGCTAAAATTGGTATTTGTGTCCCATAGTCTTACTATTCTCATTGATAAATATAAAAAAAGATGTTACATCAACACTATCAATTCCCTTTACAATCTTAAACACCTCAATCAGATCCCCCCTAACTTTTCATTTTTCAAGAGAAAACAATTTGAGATATTTCAACCTCTCCTCATATGATGTCCCATCCATCCCAAGAACCATTATAGTAACAGTGTCTCTCATAAGGTAAGTAGCCAAAGATTGAACACAATATTCCAAATGTGCCCTAACCAGTGACCTGTACAGTGAAATTATAACCTCTTTAGACTTGTATTCAATATTTCTATAGATACAACCTAAAATCCTATTTGCCTTACACTAACAACAGCATACTGTATGGATGACTCTCGAGACTGGTCGATTATTATACCAAGATCCCTTTCCTTCATAACACTATTAAGGTTATTCCCATCCAAATTATACTTATAATTCAAATTATGATAACCCACTTGCATTATTTTGCATTAATTAAAACCTATCTGCCATTTATCTGCCCAACCCACTAAATGATCTAAATCCTTTTGTAAATCAGCCAGCATCCTCTTCACAGCTAGAAACACCCAAAACCTTAATATAATCTGCAAATGTAAGTAATTTATTGACTATCCCTTCATCTATGTCATTGATGTAAATCAAAAAGAACAAAGGTTCTAGGACTGAGCCCTGAGGTACCCCACTTGTGACATTAATCCAGTTTGACTGAACCCCATTCCTATTCTAACAACTGGAAATCCTTTATCATAGAAAGGATAGAGGTCAGGTTCAACTGAGAATCTCTGAGGTTGAAAGCTAAGATAGCCATTGGCCAAGGATCAGAGCTTTTTATAGCAAAAGTCAGGATTGAAAAGATGACAGATACAAAGCAAGTGTAATCAACATAAAACATATATAATGGCTGCCTTGTTCAAAAATAATATCAAAATAAAACATTTGGATATTGTTTGATTGTGCAAATCAGGCATATTTCTAAATCAAAACTACTTTAAAATAATATACAGTCTGTGTCTTTTTTCATTTCAAATTAATTATCAATTGTGGTTTTATCTTACAAATAACAATTTGCAAAAATCCATGAGTAATTCAGTTGCCTGACCTGAAAATATTCCTTGACCAAAACCAATAATAACAAAGTGTCCACCATGTTTCTCAGTTTTGTAGTTTACATTATCTCATAAACTTTGCCTCTTTTTAGAGAAAAATCACATGCCTATGAGGATTTCAGTTTAACACCTAACAAACTATATTTTAACAAAATGCAACTATATTTCTCTTTTTACGTGGTCTAAGCTGTGTACTTTATTAAACATGTATATTTTTATATACTAATCAGAATCTTTATTTGTGTGAATAATTGTGCTCTTGCATATTTCACATTTGTTCACAATTAAATATACACAAGCTGGTCCATATATACAAGAAATAACATGAAAAGTAACAAGCAGTAATTGCCCTGTCTGTATCAGTCATCCATCCTGACCATATTTTGTGAACTACAAAATACATGCTAATATATGAGGTTACATCAATTTGTATGTAAAATCACAACTTTACTCACAAACTGTCTAAACACTATTTGCCATAAAATGTAACCTGAGTGCTCAGAAAGCAAGATTGCGAAGTCCTTTTGGCCTATTAATATGTCAAGAGTTTCTGGACATCATCAACAGTCAGAGCTGGGTATCTAGCATTTATCTGCTGTGGAGAAATGTTAATACAGCTCACTAGGTAGATCTGGCAATTATCAAAAGCATCAGATCATATATTTTTCAACCATCATTCACCTCTCCTAATTATACAACAGTTAAGCAGTTATTAGTAGCTGGAAAAGTAAGAAATGACTGTTCTGGTCAGGCAGTTAATCCCATCCATAATAATTAGGAGGACAGTATTGGAGTCTTAGCCAGTAATCAGAGCAGTAAAACTACTGGTTTATTAGTGTTTTCTTCATCCATCTCCTCAAGATTCTCAGATGTATATTGCCAGCATAATCCTTTTTATCAGCTGAGTCAAAATTATACAACATGTTGCTCTTGTCATCATCATCATCATCATCCATATGGGTTTTTTTATGTATGCAGTTCTCAAAAGCTCATCAGTGATAGAGGATTTAAGCTAGTCAACATGCTCACATGTATTACACAGCTGCTGTGAGTCATAACTCACTTCCTTGAGCTGTCAACATATGAAACATTGAACAATCCAATTAGAACTCCACTTATTCAGAGACAACTATGTTTAATCTAACCAGAATTTCAGTACATTGTCATTATAATTTGTGCAACAATTGTAAAATTATATGAAACTTTTTATAATAATTTGTTCAAAATACATTGCAAATAGGATTAGCATGGAAATGATCAGCACTGCTAGATAATACGGTCTTCATTCAGGTGCTTCCCTTCTAAGTACAATGTTACATTACCAATATTTGAAGAGTCATGAATGTTTATTCAACCACAGAGTTTTATAAATTGAAAAATACAATCAATTATGTGAAATATACACACACATACACACACACACACACTAAGAATTCTCAACTAAGCAAAATGTTTTAACTACACATTGAATTAGGACTTGCTATCTGTATGCTACTATTTTAGATAGTGTCTTACAACAGGAGCCAAGGGAAATCGTTAAATTCATTCACTGTTAAATACTAACATGGCCATGTCTAAAAATATTTGTTCCTCAAGCTAACTCTTCTTTGTGAGTTGTGAAATCATGAATATATTTATTTTAGGGATCAGGGTCAGAAAGAAGTCATTTTTCATCTGGGTAGTCATGTGGAATATATTAACTTTTTAATCCTTATACCAATACAAATGATAGTAACAAATAAGGTTTAAAATGAGCTTTGTAACTTTTTTGAAAAGAATTTTGTTGAAATTTGAATCAAAAACTGATCTTGTATTCCATTATTTATATCTTCCATATAATTTCACTGAGTAACCAAAAATATTCCATATAGCATTATTTTAATTAATATCAAAGTGCATGCTTAATTTTAGTAAATTTGGAGAAGGTATGGAGTTTTATAGGTTAGTTGATTTGATACAGAATCACTTATAAATTTTATTAAGTATTAAATCCTTCTTTTTTTCTTTTTTAATTTTAAGATGTGAAGAGAAGTTGGAGAAAATAACTTGAAGAGATCTCAAATTGCAAGTTGCTCGAGAAGTTATACCAATTTTTGTGCATGACTTACTTTATAAGTTTTGTTTATTAAATGACTACAAAAAATCTTGTAACAGTTTTTTTAAAACAAGGTATGTAAATGGTCTTATTCAACTTTGAAGTATTGTTGCCAAAGAAGTTTTTTTTACCAAATGATAAAATGGGTGGTACAGGTTTCAGTGATTAGTTGTATCATAATCATCTGCAAGACAATGTTGTACCAGTACATAAAATATTAAAAAGTCTGCATATTTACCTTTAGACAACTTAGCTCATGTATATCACATTCATACTAAAATGATTTAAATGAGTGGTCATTTTCACTCAATTTAAAAATTATGTAAGACATTCTGAATTAGGTTCACATTATAGCAGTTTTTCTAGTTACACTGTTTTTCTGGAATTGAATTGTACATACAGAATAGACATAATCCTTTTCCATATCCCAGCTTGTTGAAGTTATTAAGTTAAGGCATTTCCATAATGTCAGTAATTGCATATGAGTTACAGCACAATGTTATGAGATAAAATTATTTTTTTTTCAAGGTAATCTTGTTCTGACTATTGTGCTATTTATGTGAAATGTACAAGTTGTGTATGTTTGATTTAAAATTACGATAATGTACTGTGTAGCCAGCATGACTATTGACATTATTTTGACAATGTAGGCTTACATTTTTTATTCTGTTCCTTTATTTCACTAAAGTAGCATCTAGTTAATATAAACTTTTCAATGTGATTGGAAAATAATTTATTTCATTCATATTTTTCCTTTGTATTAGTGTAAATCTATTTTAAAATCATTCAGAGGTTTTTGACAGTGAAAAATGACCCCCAGTAAATGAACTTACAATTCTAAAATCCAGGGTTTGATCCCCAGTGATGGGACACAGCAGATAGGCCGTTGTAGCTTTGCTCTAACACAAACACACACTGGAAAAATTATTTTTAGTTAAATGATAATTAGGTGGTCAATGGGTTAAGCTAACTGTCTTTTTGTGAAGGTAAGTGTTCTTAAGGTTATTTTAATGTAAACCAGAGCTGTTAGGGGGATTTTAGTAAAATCTTATTATTATACTTTTTTTATTTCTTCGTAATAAACTTTTGATAAAAGATATCAAGGTATCTCATATAGAGAAAACACTTAAAGAAAATACTTGGAAAATATTAAATTGATAACAAAATTTATCTTTAAACACAAAATATTATGAAGATGAAAAAGTTGTGCAGATTGAATTCTGTTTCCCTTAAAAACAATAAAAAACAATGAGGTAGAGAGAGAGTTAAAAAACTTGAACAGGTTGGATTTATTCGTGATAACAAGAAAAACTCCAAAACTTGAGTTCAAATTTTTATCATTCAAAGTCTAATCTTGGTCCATAATTTGATATAATGTAATTATATTTTGACCTGTATGAGTTTTGGTAGCTTGCTTGTTCACAGAAAGATCAAGTAAGCTGAAACAGTCCAGGTTTTTTTATTTTGTTCTTTTATACTTAAACAAGTTGGCCTTAAGAACTGTAAATGTAAAATATATAGTAATATGTGATTTAGTATGATATGAAATATAGCACAATGCTTTCATTTTGAGATATACAATAAAACTGTTTGTAATTCAAATGAGAAAATATATTGATATATTACTACTTTTAGTGTAACATTGTAATTTAAGTTTATGTTTTGTGTTATATATGATTCAAAGACATGACATACAGTAGTTTTATAGAGCAGTTTTTTAAAATTTAAAACAAAGATTAATTGGAGGGTACCAGGATTCCATCACAGATTTAGAATGTGGGATGGTATTCTGTTGTTGACCTAGATTTGTGAACATAATCAGTTGTCATAGTCACATAAAATCAAATCATTCTAGCAAATATAAGAATATATAACAAAAATTGTACTCACATTTTTCAAAATATAAGATTAAAAAGACTACACTTACTCTAACATACTAATTTTTCTTTCTGTACCATGAATTGTCTTCTCTGTCCAAAGCTCAACAATTCAGTGTTTTTATTACAAATACAGGTTTACATACTGCATCACTAGAACAGTGTCTGCAACTTTTGGAGTAGACAAAAGCTTAAATCAATTGATTTAAGGGTACTTGGTCTAATGGTTAGTTTTGTATTTATGGTTAAAAACAAAACACTAGTATTACAACTTTGTCACAGCTAAGTCTTTGGTGAGTTTTATATGGAAATAAATCCACTCTTATGTTTCAGTGTTAATCTATATAAACTAAGTCATCTTACTACTATGATGATTATTACATATGTGGGGTGAAAGTCATATTTAAGAGATTTGTCTGATGTAAATACACAAATGTGTGTTTTATAGTACTTAAGAATAATTTTGATTTGATATCCCCTATAAAATGATTCTTTATGACAGAAAGAGTTATATTCTACCACAAAAAAATAGATAATCTTAACCAGCATTTTACAACAAAAATAAAATGTTTGAATTTTGTCAATAGTTAAAAGGAAGAAAATCATTACTGACTGAAGATTTATTGTTATTAATTGCTTTTAATTACTACTTTGGCTGTTATTAATCTGTTTTGATGAATTTAAATAAAACTAAGATTTTATCTTAGTTTCTAGGTTATTTTGACTTTAAAGAAATCAGATTTGAAGACCATCAATAATATACATTGACTGAATATATTGTAGAAAATTTTCACAAACATGCATGGGAATATATTAAACAATTTTACCTCAGTTTTTAAGTGAAAAGGAAGAAAATCATGACTGAGTATAGATTTATTGTTATTAATTGCTTTTAATTACTACTTTGGCAGATTTTAAACTGTTTTGATTAATATAAATAAAACTAAGATTTCATCTTCGTTTCTAGGTTCTTTTGACTTTAAAGAAATCAGATTTAAAGACATTCAATAATATACATTGACTGAATATATTGTAGAAAATTTCAAAAATACACATGAGAATATATTAAGTCATTTTACCTCAGTTTGTTTTTTATAAATATTACAAAACAGCATAAACTTTTCTAAATCAAATGAAAATAAGTGGCTAAAATTAAATGTGTTAATTCTATGACTTTCTAATAGTATGAGATAAAATATTTTATCATTTTTGTTATTTCACAGAATATAAATAAAAAAACCTCCTAGTTAAGAGTTACCTTTCTCCATACATAGATGTGAAGATATAAAAGTTGTCAATATTTTTAAAATTTTGAAGTATACTTTTCATATTATGTAAAAAATTTATTAACTTTTGATTCTTTTTTCCCAATTTTTCATGTGTGTATTATTACAAACATATGCTGTATATGTAAAATAGTTATTTCAAGTGGCAGCATTTTTGGGAAGTAATAAAGACATGTAAACATTCACCTTGCCATTTGTATATGTATGAAATTTATGTCAACCACTGTTGGAGTAACCATTTGATTGTTTGATATTTAATAACATTGATGATCAGCACCGTAGTAAAACATTAAAACTGAAATTTATTTAGGTTGTACTTGTGTTATATTTTTGAAGCAGTCCTATAATATGCTTAAAGTTTAAAGTAGTGGTTGTGGTAGGTGTATATTAATTTTTTGTGCTTATGTTTTGTATTAACAGGATTTACTGATATGTTTACTGTGTGTATGCACTGAAACAGTTGAATGTTTTCAAGTTATCTGTATTCATGTTTTGTTTATTGGTCCACTTTTGACATGGATTTTTTGTCAGTACATGTATATAAATATGTGGATATCTATATATTTGTTTTAGTTGATTGTCAACTGGTAGACTCGCTGGTTAAAGTTTTTTTGTTTTTCCTGTTGTAAAATGTACTGTTTTAATATAGCTAATTAGACTTTCTTGAATAAAAAAGTTCTACTTAAAATGAAATTTTTAATGGGATGTGTTTCTTTTACATGTAAATGTTCATGTTTTACATAGGAAACTAGGCAGTCAATAGCTTTAGCTTATCATTTAATGTTTCATAAATATCTTGTTTTTGTCAAAATGTGAGATTATGTAAATATTAACTGTTTACGTAGTACTGATCTATGCATGTTTTGGTTAAAAGATATACTGTTATATTCGGATCCATATATCATAAAGAGCCAGGGTGCCTAATATTTAAAAAAAATGAGAAGGGAGGGATTGATGTTGCCAGATAATGTATAGTTGACCAAATAAACCACATTTTTCTCTTTATTGGCTTTTCTTGTCAAACTGTCAACTTATAGACTAAAGCAAAATTGCTGTTAAGTGAATCAGATTTACATCTAGTCTTAGTAAAAAAAAATCTCAATTTCAGCCTAATTTTTATGGGAATTCACAGAAATATTACAATAGCTATTGACATCACCATAATATCTCTGTTATAAATGTTTAAAGTGGTTAATAAGAAGACAAGTTTACAAAATATAAATATTCCTTTTGAAGAACTGAAGGTTAAGCATGTGTTCAACTGTACTAAGGTTTTGTTGGACAGGAGATATAAGTGAAAGAAATTAGAGTGAGAGTACTCTTTTTAAGTTACGATGTTTTATATCATCAGTATGGTAGATTATAAAACTGACTTTATAGTCAGAATTATGATGCTTGGTGGTTTAGAAGAAAAATTTAATTATAAAATGAAACTATCAAGCATTATATGATAATACAAGTGATTAGTATTGGGGTGTAATTAGTTCTTCAAATGACCTTCAGAAGATGAGCTCTAAGGGCATGTAAAGAAGATTTAGGTTCTGTAAATCACTACCAGAGAGATAACATTGATTATAC